TATTAGTTGCAGATGTAGCCGAGGTAACAGTACTGCCTATCACTGTAGTCGTGACATTAGCGTTAACTGTTGGCATGTTAGTAGTGGGGGCCACAGTAGTAGCGGTAGTATTACCTGTAGATGTAGCTGTGGTAACAGTACTACCCATCACTGTAGTCGTATGTTTATTAAAAGAGCCGTAGTATTAGCACCAACTGTTGGCATGGCAGTACTGGATGCAGCAATAGTAGTAGTGCTATTATCGCTTGTAGTAGCATTTATAGCAGCTGTGTGCATAGTGGGTGTGACTGTAGTGGAAGTTTCATTTTGTGCTGAAACCGCCCTGAATAATGCAAGAAGAATCTGTAATTGAAGACTATAAGTGAATCTCAAGCAATGGAAAAAGAAAACTTACAAAGTGTGCAACAACAAATGCCTGCAAATTCATTCAGTCAGTGAACGTTTCTCGACGTTCATAGACTATATTGCAAGCTCAGAATGAGAACACCGATATCAACTAAAGAGATTGCGTTAAATATAATAAGGCTGAGGACACATGATTTTTTCACACCTGCTGATATAGAAAGCTATACTATTCAAGTACTATATGCCCTTTCAGAATCCAATATCTTAACGCATATATTAGTCAAGGTCAATCGCATGTCAGACTGAAAATATGATTTCACTTATACAATTTCTTGTAAAGTACTGTTCTTCAACCTATTACTTCGATCGAAGAGTATACCATAGTACACAGATGTTTGTCTATGGTTGGATGACTTGTGACCATAATAAACAAGAATTCTCTTATCTTTATTGTATCGCTGAATTAGTCTCAACTGCATTCAACCCATTCTGTGGAGTTATATGATGAGATCGCATTCCGGCTGCTATCTTCCTAACATAGAGTCTTTAGCAAGTTTAATTTCATGAGGGCTTAATCTCTGCAAGAACAAAAAAATGACTTTACCGGTTAGCCAGCTTGTAATTAGCAAACTTGGAGTATAAATTTCTAAAGTATTCGAGGTTCGATTCAAAACTCTTCCGAAAAAGAGGAATCCAATATTGTTTTGACATGATTAAGCCACTCAAACACTTAAAAGGGTCCCAGCTACCAATTTCTGCGAAAATAATGCTCATATTCAATCTCAGGTGACTAGACCGCTATCCGTAAGTCTGGTTGTATTACATTAGGCTACTTTGGATTCCATTTGCATGAGCATATGAAGGTGGAACAACTCACTTATATTTTTGCTCTTCCAAATGAGCAAAGCGCTAGCTTTTTATGAAACAAAGTTTAAAATTCATTATATGATTTACTATGCACATTTTCCAAGAATA